GATTGAATGTCCAGCTTGATTAAAACGTAAGGAGACAGGAGTGGGATCACTGAGTTGTTGGAGGTTCAACATGGATCGGTGGTGTTCTCCAAATCGTTCATTTAGTTGGCGTTTAGTCTCTCCGATGTACTGGCATTTACATTTGTTGCATTGAATTAAGTAGATAAGATTTTTGGATTTGCAGGATAAGTGGTCAATGATTTTTCTTTGTTCACTAGTTGCGGTGAAAATGTAATTTGTTTGTCCTTGCTGGAGAACAGGACAGGTGAGACAGCGCGGATGGTTGCATTTATAAACTCCGGCGGGTTGTTGCGTGTGAGGTGTGTTGTTTTGTAGCGTGGAGTGTACCAAAAGGTCCCGAACGCTTGCGTGACGTCTGTGAGCGATAACGGGCGGCACAGGGAAGGTGTCTTTGCAGTTAGGGGAGGACGGAACCGGAGAAACTTTACAAAGAGCGGGGTTGAAGGTAATAACAAATGGCGTGCGTCCACAAACAAGGCAACCCCGGAAGTCCTATCATTTCTAGCAGTGGCCATCCTACAGAGCGAATTTCTGAATTTTTCGAGTACCACGTTAAATCCCTCGTACAGTCCCTTCCCTCTTACACTAAAGATACTACACACGTTCTTCCTCAACGTGAACAAATAGGACCACTACCGGACAACGCAATTCTTGTCACCCTTGGTGAATCCTGGTGTCTTTATGAACTGATTTTTTTGTGGAAACTCGACGGAGTGTATAGCCGTTGAAACGTATTTTGCGTCAGCCGGTGACACTTAAACTGTTTTTACACAATAAATCAGGGAAAAGAGAATCGTAAGGATACCACTCTAATTCGGGAAACCATAGGATACCAGTTTTATTAAGATACTTTCCAAAGCAATGAACAAGATTGCCTCCAACTAATTTTAACAAAAGACCTTTCAGGACGGTGTCACGAACCAGTCACGCTCGCGGTACCGCCATTTTATAATAATAATAATAATAACTTTATTTGTATAGCGGTATATACAAAAGCTCTATATCGCTTTACAATCAAAAAAAAGAAAATAACTAACTAACAATAGCACTAAAACAAAAAGTCAATTGAAAGCGAGTCTAAAAAGATACGTTTTCAATCTAGATTTAAAAACATCAACTGATCCACTTAATTTAATGTCTAAGGGAATATCATTCCAGTGCTTTGGGGCAGCGACCGAAAAGGCCCTGTCCCCATAGCTCTTCAGGCGCACATTCGGTACTTCTAGCTGACCTAAGATTTCTTGTAGGGTTATATGGGACTATAAGTTGACTTAAATACGGAGGCGCCAGATTATTGAGAGCTTTAAAAGTTAACAGTAATACTTTAAAGGTAATTCGCTGCTCCACAGGTAACCAGTGTAGCTCCTTAAGGACGGGGCGAATGTGCGCAGCCCTAGGTTGCCCAGCTACAAGGCGTGCAGCGCAGTTTTGAACGCGCTGGAGCTTCTCAATAATAAACTCCGGTGACTCGAGGAGCAACGAGTTACAATTGTCCAGTCGACAAGTAACATAAGCCTGGACGAGGGTCTTTGTGCTCTCAGAAGTCAAATACATTCTAATCTTCGCGATATTCCGAAGATGAAATAAAGCAGATTTACAAACGGAACTCACATGCTTATCCAGTGACAAGGTCTCGTCAAAAACAACTCCTATGTTCCTAGCTTTGTCAGACCGCTCTACACGATGATCACCAACCAGGATACTATCTAAAGATGGGCGTGGCCGATATTTTGAACTGATAACGAGCAGTTCCGTCTTGTCCCTATTCAACTTGAGTTTGTTACAAGACATGCAACGGTCGATATCTCTAACACAAGATTCAACCTGAGAAACAGAATAAGCTTGATCATCCCCACTGAGAGAATTGAAAGACAGATACAACTGAGTATCATCAGCATAGAAATGATAGCCCATGTTGTATTGTCTGACAATATCCCCCAATGGGGAGGTCTAGAGCAGATATAAAATCGGTCCAAGCACGGAGCCCTGTGGTAGTCCGCACGACAGCGAACGCGTGACAGACCGCGCACCACGAATGCTCACAAAATGAGTTGTGTCGCTCAGGTATGATTTAAACCAGGCCAGGGCTAGATCGCAAAGACCGAAGCGGTTTGCTAATCTCTCAATCAGTATAGTGTGATCAACCGTATCGAAAGCGGCCAATAGATCTAATAAAAGTAAGATAACAGTCCTATTCGTATCAACGTCTAGGATAATATCATTAAATACTTTGACTAAAGCTGTTTCGGTACTATGAAATTGTTTATATGCAGATTGTAGTATTTCATCAAGTCCATTACTAGAAATTTGATGCATCAACTGAGATACCACCACCTTCTCAGTAAGTTTAGACATGAACATCAAATTTGAAATAGGACGAAAATTCGAAAAAACTTCAACATCAAGTGTGGGCTTTTTGAGAAGAGGATTCAGCAATGCAAGCTTAAAACAGTCTGGAAAAACAGCTAGACAAAGACTGATTTACAATTTGAGTCATAACAGGCAAAAGAACTGATGTGCACTGCTTCAAAACAGAAGCAGGGACGGGATCAAGAGGACAGGACTTGATGGTCATCTTATTAAGTAATTCCGAGACATCAGACAATGTTACAGACTTAAAACATGACAAGGCACACTGATGGACAATGGCATCGGACTCCACAACAATATCAGATGTGGAGTCAAGTGAGTTTCGCAGAACTGTAATCTTCTCACCAAAGAAGTCAATGAACTTGTTAGCAAGATCACCATCAGACGCACACCCTGAAGGATACTCCGCGGGCACGCGCTTATGTAGGAGCTTATTTACCGTATTGAAAAGAGTTCGGGGATTATTACTACTCTCCCGTATAATGCCTGAGTAATAGTCAACTTTCGTTTTCTTGATCAAAGCGTTCACTCTAAGGCATTGTTCCTTAAATCTAGAATAATCCGATTCTCGTTTTGAAGAACGCCAGCGCCGCTCGAGAGCTCTGCGTTTTTTCTTTTCAGATCGTATTTCCTCAGTGTACCATAGGGCGGTTGGGCGAAGAGTAATGGTCTTAGTCTTCAGAGGCGCGTGTCTGTCTAACAACGACTTTAATGTAGTGTTATACTCATAAACAAGTTCACCGAGACTAAAAGAAGCAGCATCCCTTACTAGCCTGGTGTTCTCCAACTGACCACAAAACTCGCTAAAATCAATATCACGAATTTTGCGATATGAGATTCGTTTACCCTCGAGTGGTAATTTAGCAAGGTCCAAGAAACTGTGTACAGCAAGATGATCCGAGACAAAAGGATTGTCCACAGTACAGCGGCCAACCAATTTCTCATGAGCTCTCGTTATAATCAAATCGAGTATGTGACCTTTCTTATGAGTCGCTTCAGAGACGTGCTGGATCAAATCAAACGATTCCAGGACTTGTAAGAATCGTCGAGCATCGCAATCATAAACCAGAATAAACCAGATAACTTTTTAAAAAGGACCAAGGACATGGAATCAACGGCCAATATAGTTTCAGATGATTGAGAAATAACTTCAAAATGTGAAAGAACTTGGATAAGACCCATCAAGCCATCAAATGAAGTTGGACTTTGACAAGCAGATCGACAAGGCGAGTGTTCGTTAATTATCAGGTTTACAAAATTTCTCGAAATTCAAACGGCGGTCTATTCTGCAAACGTGGAGAGCACAAAAATGTTATTCGTTGTTGAGTTTTATTATCATTCCTAGATTGTATTCCTACAGATAGCGAAGTTCAGACAGGTGCCACACTTTTTAAAATTACCCTCAAAGTTGCGCTACTTTCGTGTTTTGATGGACAGCCGAAAACACGTGCTGGGGAAAAAATCATTGCCGTTGAAATAAATAAATAAATAATTCGGAACTGTGATATGGCTAGAAAATCTACAGTGGTGTATCTGTATATATACGGAAAAGAAAATCAGTCTTTTTGAGCCAGGTGTTTGTTTTCTAGAGTGCGGTCGATATTAGCTATTTTTGCAGTTTGAAAGGCTATAGCGCCGGCGCAGACCGCCCGGAAATTCAAAAATTCGTAAAAAAATATATTTATCACTTTCGGTCAAACGAAATGCATTTTTGCAACTATTAAGGTGGAGGCTTTAATATCCCAGAATATAAGGAAAATCAATTTTTTGATCCAAAATCACCGGTCGGTTTTTACGGAGACACGCTCTTAAGGCCTTTTTTTCAAAAGACAGAAAATAGCATGACATAGCCCTTGACAATCTTCCTTACATATAACCCGGAAGGGGTACTTTTAAACGGGGAGACTCCGCCCCGAGGTCCAACCCCTTACCCTTTTATATAGCATTTTTTTACGAAAAAGATACCCCTTTCGTATACCTTCTATTGACAAAATAATGGTCCCCCTTTCACATACCTTGTTTAGATTTTTGAATCCCTTTAAAATGCTGTAATGCACTTTCTTTTAAATAGGAATCGATCACATAAATAGAACGTTTTCTCCACTTTATAATAAAGGCATAAAATTAATCTGTTAGCCCTTTTGAGCTCTTTTACAGACCCAAATGACAGATGTTCCTACCCTTTTATATACTTCAACTAGTGAAATCCCTACCCTTTCATATACCTGAAGCCTGATAAAGGCACCCCATAGGGAGTACCCCGCGGACAAATAATCAGACTCTGAAATATAAACCAAGTACCTTAAATAGTCATTCTATATCTAAAATAAACCAAGTACTTTAATCTACGTACTAATCCTGAAACGGTCTTTTGATCTCAATTCATTCCATTCAAATATATACTGAACTACAACCTTAAGGGTGATGTTACACGAGACGATTCGCAACGACGACTTTTAGCGTAACAAAGCGTGACTGTGGAGGTTCCTCAGGGCTCCAATTAAAGCACCCTTATTGTTTTTTATGGACATCAATGAAGTCCACAAGTCCTTACGGTATGCATCTATTGCCTTATTTGCTGATGACACAGCGCTGTCCTATTGAAGTCCTACAGACCTGAAGAATATTGCTTGCTGGCTGGAAGAAAACAAACTTACTTTTAACACGTCCAAGTCTAAGTTTATGCTTATTGCGAATTCTAAGAAGCTGAAAAACGTATCTCATTTTATGCTTACAGTTAATAACCGTACCTTGAAGAAAGAATCTACGTTACAGTATCTGGGAATAGTGATTAACGACTCTGCGACCAAGAAGGTTAATCAAAGACTTGGCGTTTTGCGTAGGATTAAGCACTTACTTCCAATCTATGCTCGTAATCTATACGTAGTGCCACGGTACTACCGTTTTTTGATTACTGCAACATTTTCTTTGGTGATAAGAATTATATAGTGTTAATGGATTCCCTCCAGGTACTGCACAATAAGGCGGTTAAGATTGTTCTCAATCGTCCTGTACACTCTTGATCTGCTCAGACGCTTATCGATCTTAGGTGGATCAATATTCGGGCTGGACGGCGCATTCATCGGCTTGTCCATATTTTTAAATGCCTCAATGGCCTTTTGGATCAAAATTATCATTTTCATACTGGGTCTTAAGTCCACAATTACCAAACACGTCATGGCAGTGATTTGAGAATTGACAGATCTGGTTAAAGTAAAGCCAAATACATTCTTCATATTTTCGTATTCAAAGAATGGAAGAAGACTCCTATTAAAGCCAGAAACAGTGCAAGTATTCGCAGTTTTAGAAACGCTGTTTTACATCTTTTAGCATAATTTTGATAGGAACAATGAGACTGTACTTTTTATTGTCTATTTTATGTACCAAGTGTTTTTATTGTTTAGTATAGTTTTAATTTAGTGACAGGTCGCGTCTGGAAATCACCCATGGGTGATGGCGACTTCCTGTATAAAGATTTTATAAGTATTATTATTTTTATTACTATTACTATTCTTCTTCTTCTTCTTCTTCTTCTTCTTCTTCTTCTTACTATTATTACTATTATTACTATTACCGTAAATACTGTTTTCAAGATGGAAACCTCGTTCCCAGGTTCTCTCAAGGCAGAGCAAGATGTAAATTTTGCGCCCTTGACGACGCATGTTCTTTTGCCGATATTCCCAGAGAGGTCCTGGGTACTAGAAAGAATCCGGATACGTGTAGACCTGGAAAATTTTGACTCCAGAAAGAAAAATCCCTTTCCATAACTTTAACGTAAGTTTAAAATGGGCTTCAACGTTGATCTTCCCAAGACTACTAAAAAAGGTATTATTTGCCTTATTGTAACTTAATCCAGGGAATATATTACATCAGGACTATAGGCTTGGTTACCAATGATGGTTTTCACCGTAAAACGAAATGGAAAGAGGCATCAATTTGCGAAAGGGAAATAGGCATCTCCGAATGACCCAGATTCCTCTACCCTCTCGCAAAAAATCCCAGTTTGACATCTCGCAACAACTGACCGCGTATTTCATAATGACTGGTACAGAAAGGCTCGAGGGACTTAAATTACTGTAGAGTGCTTTAGATTCTGAGACGAGGACGAGGAGGAGGCAGACGAGATTTTCTCAGTACTAAGTAGTGCTCTTGCGTGAGCCGACGTAATTTGGGCAGGAAAAGGTGATAGCTGTCGTCATTCTACTACGAGTTTTAACGATAGTGTCGTTGTGGCGGGAACAAGTTATCAAATTTTAGAAGTTTAATCATCTTGGAACCGGAAAGCGGCTAAAACTTCTTCAATAAAAATAACCGCACAAACGTTTCAGGTGAAAAGTAGTACAATGAAGCTCCCTGGGTTGAATATTTTTCGACAATACGCGAAAAAACTTTAAGTTAAATCTTGTACTCGTAGTCGCCCTCGTCCTCAAGTCTAAAGCTCTCTGATCTATTATCATCTTAACACTCAGATGTGAGAGGCCCCGTGTTAATGTAAGCTGACCTAGAGGTTAGTAACTTGCTCTTGTAGGGGGGAATCCTCATCTCTGTTGTCTGGCAGTTCTTCCGAAACAGCTTTCCTTGCTTTATGCATACGGTAGCACTTAAAACAGCCTCCAATCAAAGCAATTGTTAAAGCAAGTCCACCTACGCAATATCCCACAATTTTCAAAATGGCTCCTGTGGACACTAAACAGAAATACGGAAAACCGTACCTCAGTAAAAGGTGCTGGATGAAAATAAACAAAGCTACGTTAGGCTATTTGAAGTGCACACTATTTCAGTGGGTGTTATATCAAGCTATATTGAGCGATGCTATCACAGTTTACATTATCTGTTACCAGCACAACGAGATTTTTTAAAGAAAGATCGCTCTTATCTTACGCCAAAAAAAAAACAAAATTCTAGCAAATTTTGTTGAGATGCTGCTAAGATTCGATTATTCTGTGACATAACAGTGTGCTATCGAAATCTATGGGTTCAAAAGGACATTTTGAGAGAATCGGGTCAAATCTTGTTACTTTACTTTACCTTTTGCAAACAGTAGATACCCCCTTCCCACAACAGCTTGACATCACTCAGGAGCCAATTGTACATCGGCTCCTGCTACAGCCTGTTGTCTGTTCCTGTCAGAAGGAACGATGCGAAAAGCAAGCACGAGGAATCGCACGAGGTAAAAGAAAAAGGCGAGGAAATCAGATGTGGACTGGGGAGAGGAGCCCTTTCTCTCCCAGTCCCTGAAGGATTTTTTTCTCTTACGCTCGCTTTTCCGGTTCTGCTTGTCCCGACTACAGTGGAACCTCTACATTGGGACACCTCTATTCAAGGGACACCTCCATTCAAGGGACACAAAAATTTGGTGCCGGAAAACTGTTCACATAATCTTTGTAACTGTTACCTCTATTGAAAGAACACCTCTATTTAGGGGAAAGGGACAATTTTGTGGGTCTCAAAGCCCAGGTTTAACTTCCATTCAGCAGCGTTCCCATTAACGCACACGTGTGCGTATTTTGCAATCAAAAATCGAAAAGGACGCACGCTTCTTTGAGCGCAAGAGTTTCAGACACACACAAGGACATCTTTGCAACAATCTTGGAAATCCCCACGTGTTTCATCAACTAGCCATTTTGTCTAATTGGGGAATATGTCCACCCAACACAATCTTCGTCTACCGGGCAGAGAAAAAAAAATGATGTAGATCCTCAGCAGTTTTCCTGACCCAAAAAGGGTGTCTTCAAGTCCAAATGGCTTGAAGAATTTTCATGGTTAATGTATATTTCCATCGACCACATGAAATGCAAAACAGGTGTAGATGCAAACGGATGTTTCGGAAAACCATCCACATGCTCTGCACATGGTGCAACTAATTTTCAGCGATCAGCCTTAGATCGCCATCAGTTGGGAAATTAACATCCCACAGCTGTGCAAATCAACAAAGAAGATCTCACGAAAAGTTCATGTGAAAGAAAAATCAGGTACGGCTTTTAAAGTCTTTAGTAAGAACAGCTCTGTTTGTGGCAAAGGAAGAAATTGTAGACCGCAAATTACCCCCTCCAACTCTTGTAATCACACAGTACACACAAAATAGGTCTTGGGACCTTTTAAAGCGAAAAGGACCTTCAATTTCCTGGGACTGGGGGTCCTAAGGACCTCTAACTTTTTAAACGAATGGGAACTCCACTATTCAGGGGACAAAGTGGGTAGATAAGTTTACGTGTACACTTCTCACAATTATGATGACAGCTTTCACAGCATGAGCTATCTCACCTAAATTTGTGTTCCGCACTTGTGGGAACTCAACACACCATATTGCAGCGCGAAGTTAATCGTGATTTTTCACTTACTATCTTGCTGCTTTAAATAATGAATGCAGCATATTTTCTTTGTCTGATTAATTATTAACAAACATAAACCAGCCTCTACTCAGGGGATACCTCGAATGAGGGGACACTTGCCTGAGTCCTGAGGGTGTTCCCTAAACAGAGGTTCCACTGCAACCGAGCCTCGAAAAGGTTACGGGTTGACCCAATCTTGCGAGGAGTAAAGGAACTAGGACTCTCAGCTACTGATAACTCGCCAAGGTGTCTATCTTTCATGGATTTGGTGGGGAGGGTACTTTGCATGAGACCTATGTGTCCTATGTAGGGAAGCAAAGGTGGCGTAGTGGGAAGAGCACCCGCCTCCTACCAATGTGGCCCGGGTTCAAATCCCGGCGTCGAAGCCATATGTGGGTTGAGTTTGTTGTGGGTTCTCTCCCTTGCGCCGAGAGGTTTTTCTCCGGATATTCCGGTTTTCCCCTCCCTTAAAAAACAGCACTTCCAAATTCCAATTCGATCTGGAACGCACGGACACGTTTCAACGAGTTCTCATGAACTCTTAAGCGCGCCGCGGGTAAACAATTTACAATTTTGTCCCATTCTTGTACACACCCGTCGGGTAGGTTGCTGTTCAATAAAAAAGAAGAGGCTAGAAAACCAAAAATTACTTTTACCATTACAACCTTACTTTTCGTCTTGTAGCTGGCTTTAAATCCAGGATACTTTGTCTTTCCACTGGATTGGAATGTCAAACGCATAGCCCAGGAATCTGATGTTACTGGTTCAGGTATATCTGCTCCACAAAACTTTCCAACTAGTTCACTCGTATCAAACTGACCATCACGGACTTCCACATAATCATCAGAACAGTCACTGGATCGAGACAGATTGAAGTAATCAAAGGACAGCGTTATTTCGTAATTAGAATCCACAATGATGAGCCAGATGCACTTGACATCGTCATCGTAAGGTAGAGGATAGATGTAGCTTGCAAGTTCCCCAGTTTTCGTCTCTAACTTGGTAATGTCGAAGCGTTCAGTACAGGAAATAGAAGCTGGTACTAAAATTTAAAAAATAAAATGGTATTATTAAAATCAGTTACTTTGTAAGCTCCCACACAGACGTTCCTAGGCCTTCGTGTCGTGTTCCTCCCCAACGAACATTCGTTATTGACCAAGATGACCGGACATTGGCCAAGTTCGTTTTTGCATTTTTACGCACCGAGAAGTCGAGCTAAATAGAATGCAATAAAGAAGAACGAGGCCAATATCCAGCAATCTTGAACGAACTAGCTAACCTTGGGTTTCAGAGACTTTTCCTGCACGATTTTGGGGGCTTGGTCAAGTCTTAGGAGTGACACAGGCTTCGCCGCTCATGGGTTCCGCTTGCGCAGAGACCAAAGCATTTCTCCTCACACAAGCAGGAAACCTCTGGTACTCATGGTAGATCAAGCCTGGTAAATAAAGAATTTTTTCATTGAGGAACCAACGTGGGAAATCCCAAGCGGGCAAGACGAGCCGAGCTTGCCCGCTCAGTAAGCCAATCAAAGCGAAGGATTCACTTCATCTTGCCCACTCATGGATTCAGATGTACAATATAATAAGGTATGTGTTCAAGTCAAGAATAGGAAGCTTAAACAACAACGACGGCTACGAAAACGTCCCGTACAAAGTGAATTCCCGCTGCCTCGAACTTAATCGCGCTTATTCCAAGCATCTCGTTTGATTCTTCAAATGTTGGCAAAGTTTTTTGGAGTTGAATTCTAGAGGACTGTATCAAAGTTCAAGAAAAGGAAAAGAAAGTCGTTGTCTTGTGTTCCCGTCCGCGACAAAACTTGAAATTAGGCTAAGAAATGTACAAAAAAAGTGTGATGCACATGCAACATGCAAAGTTGTTGTTTTGCAAATATAACCTATCACATTTTTGCCGTTCTCGTTGCTGTCGCGGTCATCGTTGCTTTAAGCTCCTTAATATCATGCAGGGAAGTAGGCTTGGCGCATCAAAATGGAACCAGCGAAAACCGTGAGTGTTTTGGGCCCAACAGGTTCCAAGCCACAACTTTGTTCGTTCGAAACAAATGTGGGTCAAACCTATGACCGTTTTGGCCTAAACTGGCATTCGAATCAGTGACCGCTTTTGCCCACGTAGGGTCAAACTGTGACCTTAAGAGGAGCTCGGATTGTGCCGAGCTCATGGCTTTCGGGAAATAATCCTGTTTGCTCAGTTACTTTCATTTTACACGTTTTAAGTTAATTATAGGGACCAAGACGTATCTACATAACAGAAGCTTATAGCCAGCATTAGACTGCTAGCAGTCCCTTTTCAGACACGTAGTCGTGAAGTAATATGTAAAAAAACTAGGCGAGTGCTTCATCACGGGTGATGAAGCACGAAGCCCGAGTTTTTGACATGCAAATGCAAATGCAGGTGTTTGATCTCGATGAAAAAAAAAAGTTTCATCTCTGATGAAAAGCTGCTGGTGGCGTTTTATCTGGTTTTTCATTAGGTGTCAGGATTCATTCACCTGAGCCAAATGGTCGTCATTTATTGGCTTTTGACTGCATGAATAATTAATGAGTTTGAGAATGCCAAATGAATGGCGAGAGAAACTGAACGAACCGAAAGAAGAGCTGGGTAGGGGAAAGGGGAAAAGCAACCCTCTATACTCCTGCTTCCTCTCCAGTTTCCAATTAGTTAGAATCCTTTTCTTTTTTCCCCTTTCTTGTGACGTTTGCCCGCTTGATTTGCTTGCCCGTACATCAAAACTGAGTAACCGCTAGCATTCTACACTCTTTAAACCTTACCGCGATCCACAGCCTCAAACACAGCGTCGAAAAAAACGTCGCCAACCAAATACTCCTGGCGTGAATCATATTGAACCAAAAGGTGACGACCACTGGAGAAAACATTTAAGTTATAGTCTTTCCCACAAAACTTCTTCAATAAGTTGCTTGATGAACTTTTACCATCAAAGATCTGGAGAGAGGAACTGCCACAACTGTAACCCAGGCGAAATGCCTTGATTCTCAATCTCACAAGGTATCCCTCGGGTACTGTTATCACCCAAGTACACATGATCTTAGTCGGGTAGTCCTGTGGGTAGAGCGGCGAGAAGAGGCTTCCTGATGAACTTGTCAGGGGTATGATGTTGTTTTGACCTGGATTTTTGCACGCTCCCATGGCCGCTGAAAATTGAATGACAATACAAATCATTAACCTTTGTTCACACTAGCTTTTGTACAAGACAAGACAAGACAATGTTTTATTTGGAGTCTTTTACAATCCTATGTATATCGACATTATCCAAATAATTTAAAACTACAACACAAATTGCACACTAGTGGAACTATAGTCAATGTTAACCTAAACAACTAATGATCTTCTTTTCTCATAGCAGTTGAATACGTATTTTGCAATCTTTGGGAGGATTGGGGCGATTGTACACATGCTGTGTCTGCAAAAGTTTAACGCGAAAATTTTCATTTGCTCGTTTTTTCGTGTACCGACGAAAACTAGCGCAATTTTTTTAATGACAAATTTCGTTCCCGATAAAATTGCCTAACAAAACACGCGAAACGTTCTTTGTGTTTACGACTTGTGCTACAAATAATGTGACATTATCAGAGTTGACAGTACACCAAAACTCATTTAGATAATACAGTAGTCTTAGAACATGATTTAGAGCCCGATTCTAAATTCTCTTCATTAGTTCAGCCTCACTAGCCTTTGTGTTAGAGGTTATTACTTTTAGTCGTTCATTTTATTTTATCTCATTTAGTTCATCTTTCTACAGCGTAATACCCTGAAATACTTACGGTTAGGGAGGACCTTGTAGCTTGCATGGAATCCTGGGTACATTTTAAACATGTCAGTGACAAAATTCACAAACACATTTGACTGGTTCGACACAATAACCGGAGGAAGGGAAGAACCGCAGAATCTGGCAATTAACTCCCAACGCCTTACAGTTATGTCTTTGCTCTGCCTAATTTCTACAAAGTCAGCTTCACAGTTCTCCGATTGTTGTAAATTAAATGAATGAAATGTTAACTGTATGATAAATCCAGCCGGACGATAAATATGCCAGGAACACTTGGCGTTATTAGGGTAATGGAGAGGATATGAAAAGCTGGCAAATTCTCCCTGATCGTCTTCCAGCAAACTTTCATCTAGATCTGTTAAACAAGAATAGTCTGCAGGACGCTCCCTGATAGTTTCATATGTAGCTAAGAATCCATTGTAATAGGCCCTGCGCAAGGAATTATACTCAACAAGCAAACTGTTCCCCTTGGAGAATACAACTTCCTCGAATAAGCTGCAGAATTTTCCAAGTGATATGCGTGTAGAATTTGTCGCATCAAAAACGTTTACAAAGTTTTCTTTACAATCTCCATATTTTCTCCAAAATGTTAGCTTGATAAACCGCCCGATTGGTACTGTGATATTCCAAGTGCAGGTTCCATTTCCTGGAAACGAGGGGAAGCCAGGGGTCGAGAAAGTCAGTCCGTCACCATCCACTTGAACAATGCTGTTTTGAGTTGGGTCGCAAGTTCCTGATATAGCTGTACATAAAAATCCAAATGTGTTTTTGCAATTTTCAAAGCACGTTTCATTAACTTCAGTTAGCAATTTCTGGTTGTTCCAGCTCATGCTCACTCTGTGTCAAGCAACTCTAAGCTTTTGAGAAAGCGTAGCATTGTCTGACAAAGAGAAAGAGGAGGAAGAACTAGACTTTCGCCTGGTTAGTTCAGATAGCCGGTAAAGCGCCGCCATGCCAAGCGGGAGCTAGATGAATCAAAAGCAATTGTCTACACCTGCCCCACAATGCAGCAGTGACTCTCACAATGATGTTCATTGAGTAAATATTTTAAGAATCCAATACAGGGTTAAATTTTTAATTAAATTTTCCTCGGATTTCAGATTCGAAAGAAATTAAAAGTCACAGGGTTCTCATTAAGTGTTAAAGTAGACAGCTATAATGTAAAATTAGGTGGCTTGGTAACTTGAATCGCCAGCCCTCTAGCGATTTTTCGCCGTTTTTGCCATTGCGTGCATTTCTGGACATAAGTGACAATTTCAGACTTTCACTCTCACTTATCCTTTTTTGCCAAAAAGAAGACGGCTCAAAACTCTCATTCGCCAGTTTTTTAGCCGGCTGCAAGCATGAGAACCCTAAAGTCCAGCATCAATTTTTGCATCGAACAGTTTACTAGGTGTTCATCTTTGGGATCCGCGCCAAAAATCACGCACAGATGACGAATCGCAAAAATCTGGTTTAGATTTGAATCCGCTCGGAATGCTGATTCTTTAGACCTAAAATCTTCTTTAATTCCAGAAAAGAAACCGCAATCCGTTCCTGGATTGAACAATCCGGATTTCGAGTTAGATCTCCCAAAGAAACGCACCCTTAGTTTGAAGAAAAATTCAATAAAACCTTGCATCCCGGCTCACCCTTAAAGTGATCCCAGCAATGCCATTCTACCCTTATTACTGACTGGGTAAAGCTTCACGATCTCTTCCATAAAGAGAGCATCCCTTTCCACACACACACAAACACAAATTAATTCACGAGTATTCTTACCTGTAGGAACTGATGTAAAATTTGCAACAAACCCTGGGCCACCTGTACCAAAACTAGAAATAGCAAAGACGTTGATGCTCAGATCGTTACCCATGGAGAAAACTGTAAACGAAGCTTTTTGACCTGAACGTCTGATCGACTGAGCTACATTCCACCCAGGTAGAGCATCCGCAATTGTAACATAATCAATGGAGTCCAAGCTAAAGGAGATGAAATCAACTCGCACCACATTTCCCGCAGGTGCAAGAATCGTCCATAAACATTCTCTAATCAGCCCATTGTCATAGCCCTGGGGAAATCCTGGGGTAGTGATGGTACCAGAGGAATCTTTGAGTAAAATACCCATGTTTTCTTCATGAGAGTTTCCAGAGGAACAAGAGCGAACTGCGAAGAGATAAACAGTAGAATCTCCCGTAAGCGACCACCCAAAATGGTTTAGTGATCGCTTTAAGGCTCTTGGAGCGTTGCAGTGACGAGACAAAACGGCTGCAAGGCAGACTGGCGAGGTGGTCGGTTACGAGAAGAGGTCGCGACACATCTACTTTTTGAGAGGAGAAGTAGTTACGTCACGTTGCCATGGTAGCAAAATTTTTGGATGACAGCAAACCGATAAAGTCACCTAAAAGTCTATTTGCACTATTTCAACCTTCACCGATCTTATTCAATTTCATTTATTAAAGCAAATCTTGGCGAAATTTTCTTTAGGACCATATC